GCACTCAAAATGTATTTACGCTCCTCTTGAAGCTCTATCACAAGTCTTTAACGATACCTACTTTGAGGGAAAAAAGGTAAAGATTCTGCTTGAAACATTAAGACAACTGCTTTTCTGTAAAGGTAAATATTTTCTCTCTGTCCACTTTTTAAAAAAATTAAACTATCAAAAAATCACACATTTATCTGTACTTTTATTAGCTTTCAAAGATTTAAATAAGAATTTAAGATGCAGTACCGCAAGAGAGACAAACAGAGAGCACAGCATATCCCTTCAGTGCCATATTTTCCACAACCCTCCTGCGATGTTGACCGTACCCAATTTTATAAGTCCATTGCCTCACTTACCAACATCCTAAATTCTCATGTACAGCACACAGCAAAGCCTATAAATCCAGCTCCCTACCTTGAACCTGCCACGTTCACTCTGTAAGTGTAAAAGGCAAACACCACCGATCGAAGTAGCACTGTACGCATCCCACAGCGGTACAAGCAGATTCTATACTGCACCATCCCTTTCACTTCACTCATTTTAAAAATCAATTACAATTTTTATGTAACCAGAACATTTTAGTTCTCCAGATGGCCACGCAAGGTCATTTTCTCAATGGCAACATCACTGGGGTCCCTCTGTTAAAAATCCCAACAAAAATGAACAAAACCATTAAGCTTGCTTTTGTTTTTCAATGTTTCCCCATGTTTTGCCTTTTTTTTTTTTTGCTAGAGGTGAATTCAGCAGCATCCTGTATTCTGTGTATATTGTTTTCAAAATTAAGAAATGTGTAAATTGTAAACAAGCATTCTGCACTTGAAAAAGCCAGGCAGCCTTCAGCTGCAGGCGATCATATGCCAGTGCTGTACCACTGAACCAGCATCTCCGCTATCGTGCCTTGAGGCTGACTGTTACCGATAGCTAGGTCTCTGTGACGGACAATGATTTTGAATAATGGAATAATAAATAAATAAAAATAATAATAATATCATTATCAATATATATTATTCCATTCTCAGCTCTGATAAAGCTATAAAGCTTCCTCTCCCCCTTATTCATTTTATCATCGAAACCAAATAATACAGGCAAGAGTTTACTAAAATCAAGTCATTTGGAAAAAACTGAAAACCCACAGGACACTTTCTCCAACTGCTCTACAATTCTTCATGTTTTCCTGAAAATCACACCCTTGCACTGAACTTCAGTAAAGTAGGAGTGAGCAATTCTGCTGTGTACATATATTAAGCTCTGGACAGGCTGAACTATTGACCTCCTTTGCCACTAAAATATCAGTTAATCATAAAACTGAGCTGTGAGCTGTTACTCAGAAGCAGCAGCCAACGTACGAGAATAACTTCTAACTTACAGTTGATAAAGCAGGCTAAGCGGACAATTTTAGACTACCACATATTTCGAACACCCCCCCAAAGTAAAGGCAATCACATCTCAGAGGCTACGCTCAAAGGGGCAACACACCCCAAAGCCACAGAAAACAGCCTCAAGGATTACTTCCGATTAAAGTGCTACCCTCTCCTCTGCTTTTCGTTTTGGTTTTAAAATGCTGGAGAACTGAATAATTTGAGCAACGACACTGGCAAGAGGTATAGTCGTACTGAAATAAACCCCAGGTGCCATGTGAGGATTGATGGGGAGGAAGGAGCCTTCACCATCAGCAGTCTGAAATTATTTGTGCCTAACCACATGCAGCCAGGAACACAACACCGTGCTCAGCACCGACTTCAGCTGTGCTTAGAAATGGAAATACAAAGCAAACACCTGGCTATTAAGGAGGATAATGTCAGAAAATAATGTTCTGCTTCACACATGTTTGTCTTACTTCAGTCATTTAAAAACACTCAGTGGTTTCACATATTTGACTGCTCAGCACTGTCTTTAATTGCAGACTGATAAAACAACATACAAGTTTTCTAGCAAAATGCTGCCACTCTGCTTCAGTGCAGGACAGATTACCTGGGAAATGCTGGGCAGACAAACAGGCTGTCGGAGGACTTTGAACTAGTGGAAGAATTATCTCTTCATTAGAAAACAATTTTGTTTAGCATTAGCAGAAACATGTACTAAATGAGTCACCAGACACTGGTTTTGCTCTATGAGGAAGACAGAAAATGATCTAAATACCTAATAGTAGCTCAGCATCAGACATGCACTTCCAAGTACAGTCATCTCTCAAATTGTTCAGAAGTAGCATACATCTCCAGCAAAGCACAGGTCAACTGATCAATAATATGTTATTAAGAAATGTCATGAAATTATAAATACTGAATGAATTATGGAAAAAATAATTTTCAATCTTCACTTGAAAACAATGCTAATATTTGCTTAGATATTAAACAAACAGCAAGCAGAATAGTAACCTATTCTTATTGACGTGACAGTGAGTTTGCTACTGCTGCTACTTGGAATGTAAACATTAAAAACTCATCAGATCAATGTTCGCTAATGTGTGCTTTTTAATCTGTATAGACAGCAGTCAAACTTCATGCTGAAAATTCATTTATTTCCCACCACTCCATTTGACACTGAACAGATAATCAATTATAACTTGGTTCAGAATTTGAACTAATATGTACAAAACTTATGGAAAGACAAAATTGACAAAGAACATCGACAGAAAAGAAAGTATCTGTCTGAAAAATAAGTGATCTTGTCAGAAACAAGAATTAGGAATAATTGAAGAATGTCCAGAAAGAAAATATTGCCGCAGAGAAGTCATCTAATATAGCACAGTAAATCACCTGCCAGTCACTCGTACAATACCAGCAGCAGCAGAGACCGCAGAGCAAGCTCTTCCATTATTACCTTTACCTTTTCTTATAAATCTTCTCTTCAGGAGAGACTAATTATTATGTTTATAGTTTGCCTTTTACGAGCGAAATATTAAAAAAAAATAAATTCATATTGACTTGGGTTTGCAGTTATCTTACAGAAGCCCTGGGAGAACGGGGTGGAAAAGGAAGGTCTGTCTTCATTTTGCAGAGAGGTGAGGAGGCAGCAGGGTGACCTGGCGCTCAACCCCGTGCCGTCCCTGACTCATCCCTGATGCTGGGCACAATTCTTCAGTCTCCACAAACCCTTGCTGACTCACCTTTTTCTGATTGAAACTGGTTATTAGTATCATTCATTTGCCTTTGCTTTCATGGAATGAGAAGAACCAGTCTTCCCACAAGGTAAACAGCTTGAAATTTCATTATTATTCAAATAACATTGTCACAGAAGTTCAGATTTTTCTTTTTTTTGGTTTGGTTCATTTCATAGTGGATTAAACCGAGTTGAAAACTCGTCTCAAGCCAGACTAGATTTTGCTGTTTTATATGTGAGCATTAGAGTTTAAAAGGAATTAAAAATAAAATCACACACACAATAATGTTATTTCCCCTAACTAGCTTCTAAAAATACGTCACATAAATCATGACTTCCTTTCTTTTCCTTTTCCATTAAAAAGTCTTAGTCTGCCACAAGTTGGGTAAATGAAATTATATATTTTCAAGCGCTGGGAAAAAGAATCTGAACATTTGGGATTTGTTAGTCTCAGTTCAGCCTCTTTAAAACAGAAGCTGTTTTCAAATTCCTGCTTTTTCAGAACAATGCCTAAACCAGTTCAGTACAATAAAATCAATGCTTTAACTTTACTTAGGTCTCAACAACTGTCATCTTAACTGAGATGGACACACAGATCTTATTACTTCACAAGAAAGACAGACGCAATTATAAATAAGATCATAAATTCCAAAAAATGCCTTTAGTCTTGCTCCAGCTGCGTGCCTCAGCTTCCGACAGTACTATGCCCAATTTCAAAAAAAGACTGTGTCTACTTTTCTGAGATTCACACCTACTGACCTAGTCCACTTGAAGTCTGGCTTCTGATCCAGACCCTGACCCTCTTAAGTAAATAAAATGAGTGGTCATCCGTGCTTAGATGAGAACTCAGATATCTGTCTCCCACTGAGGTCTGTAACCAACTTGTGAAAAAATATTTCATTTATATTTCTGTTTTATATATGCACACATATACATGACACATAGAAATCCACAACTGCAGCTCTTTTTTCTTACTGTTTTAATTCAGTTTTGAATAGATGGTTATCAGCACTCTTTACTAAATCTAATATAGTGCAAACTTAAAAGTACTGTCAGGCCCTAAAAGTCCTGAGATTAGGGGAAAAAAAACCTCACAATTTAATTTCCACTTATTTGCCTCCCAGTCTGATGCTCAAATCTATAATTTTCCTCATCTGCAACTATGAGATGTAGGTATTATCTTGCTTCTTATGAAAGCTGAGATTAAAATAACTTTAAGTATCTTTAGAAGGAACAGCATATAGCACAAGTTGGCAGTGCTTAATGCTCTTGGTGCCGGCCATGCAGGGGCACTCTGAAAACCAGAAGCAGACTGCAGGATTCAGTAGCATGAGATTTTGGTGGCCGTAGTCAAAAGTGGAGAAAAAACTCTATTAATATTTGCAATCATATTTTAGGAGTTAGAGAATTTAGATGTATTTTAGTTCTTGGAGATTCTGGCAGGCCATGCAAATCTGCTTGGAAAAAGTTAAATTACACAGAAGTACATTCCATTTTTTGTAAAATTCTATTTCTTAAACAGATTTTTTTTTCCCATGCAAGTTCCTTTCTGCGCAAGTTTACTTAAAATCTAAGTGAAAACATGAAGACAAAAAAACGCGTGGTTTGTCTTTTCCAGAAATTACGAGGTCTCCTTCCTTGCATGAGAAGTAAAATGTTTTCTGAGATTTCTAACATCCCATTTCCTAATCTACCCTCCCAGGGTTAGCAAACAGCAACCTAGACAGTGACTGGGCAAAACTGGGAACACAGCAAATCCTTCTTGGACGAGAAATTTGGAGATCTTGTGGGTGCCAAGGGAACCCTGAAGTTCTGCTACAAGTTCATTAGCACTAACAAGCCCACCAAGCAATTCAATCATTAAATAAATAGTTTTGTTTGTTTATTCATTTTTCCAAAGCGGTACTCACCGGCACATTTGGTCCTGGTGATGAGCGGTGGTCCTGGCTGCCCAGTCCCACCTTCACCTGGTCTGGTGAGCAGGACCCGAATCTCATATTCTGTGTCGGGGTCCAAGTGCCAGAGTTTGTAAGTCGGTGCATTGACAGCATGGGTTTCGGTCCAGGTCCCAGACGTCATTCGGTACTCCACTTCTTTCAGGATAATGGGTCCGTCCCCAATGATTGAGTTGGCATTCAGCTGAATGAGCAAGTAAGTGGGCCCAACGCCCAGCAGCTGCGGGGGTGCTATCGGCCGAGGCGGCTCTGTAGGCAAGATAAAAAATAAAAATAAAAATCATTGATAAAAAAAAAGCTGGAAAACCCATTAAGAAGAGGGCCCTTTCCACAGAAAGTTGTCAGATTTTGGTCAGCAAAGATTTCAAAACTCGAAAGCAAAAATAAAACTGACAGCAATGAAGAAGAGCTGAGGAGAATTTCAGCTGATGGAAGTGAGCAGTGCACCACCGGCATCTTCCCAATGCTACTTTTTCCATTTAAAAGTCTCAGCTAGCAATCGCAAAATCCTATCTGATTTACATATTGCTATTTCTTAACATTTTTTTCTGGAAAAAATCTGGGTTCATGTTCATTTCTATAATTTACTATGCAATAACTTGAGATTTTTAGAAACATAACTGATTTTCTTTTATTGACAGAAGTCACATATGTACTTTCCTTAAAGAAACAGTTGCGATAGTTGATACACTAGCCCTGCACAGAATATTCTTTAAAAAGAGTATCTCTGCAGTTCATTTGAAACCCACCAGATGCAGTTAGGGTAAAAGGTACAGATGCCTATTACAGCCATTCAGAATACTCAGAACTGAGCAAAAGTCCCAGTAGAATGACAAAATAAAGATGTATAGCAATGATGTATCATCTTGTATTCTTCAGTACCTTACTACTGATTTAGAAACTCAAACAACGAGATATATGTTGTCTTTTGTCTTTGTCTGTTCTCATCAGCTTCTGCCTGCCTAAATATTTCAACACAGCTGCAAAGTGAAAAGGTAACGACAGACCAAACGGGAACGTGAGGTTCCCCTTTACCCTGAGAAATGTTTACTTAGAGAAGCTGCACATTGCCTCAGCGTGATTTATTTTAAGAAACAAATCACAAGCAACATGTACTTTTCTAATAAAATGAATCCACTGATAAACACGGAAGGTTCATTTTCATTCCAGATGGCTCATATTTCAACTAATTTGTTTCAGCTAATTAGGCAACAATGCTAAATTCAATGCACACGAGGGTTTCACACAGCAGTGATGCAGAACTAACAACGCGGCAGCTCTGAGCAGGTAGAGGGGATCTCATGGCCAGAACAGTAAAAATAACATTTAACCCCAGATCGTAAGATTTCCCTAGAGGGGGGCCCTTCTCATCACCGCTCCCCTCCACCCCTCTGCACAAGAGAAGATGCAGAAGCACTGCAATATTCTGCCCCCCGGGAATAACCCCACCAGTGTCAGTGATAGAGCCTGTGGGGGGGAGCGGTGATGGAGGGGCTCCAGACCCCCTTTGACATCCCACCCTCCCTGCATGGTGAAGTTCAGCTAACGAGTCCCTGGTTCTCTACATCCAGCAGTAAAGTTTCTCCTTCAGATACCAGAGCTGGCTCCCAACAGTGTATTTACCAGCTCTGTAAGCAACCAAGTCTCCTACATTTTGGTACAAAAGGATTTCTTGTGGACTTTCTTCTAAATTAGCTGCATCTCAAGTCATTCAGGCTGGAGACCAGGGAATCTGTACACATGGCTGCAAGCGGAGCGGATTTTCTTCTCCCAGAGTGAAAAGGTGAATGCTCTAAGGTGTTCCCATTTCTGCTGTGGGATAGACAACTCTAGAAAGTATCTCAATTAATTATTAACATGTTTTACCCTGTTTTGGCAAGAAATGTGCATATGAACTAATTTAGAGCCCTACCTGCATCAAAACTCAGAAATGCAGCCAGGCTTAATGAGGGCAGTTTATTTGCTGTGGAACTAACACATTAAATGTCAAACTAATGAATTCTAAGGTCAGTGTATATTACGGCAGAAAACATAAATGTTGATGAGCATGATGCACTACTAACTCCGAGTTATAAACCTCTAAAACATAAGGCTATGTTTAGAAGTATACACTTTGACTAAGAGCACGATTATCACAAATAAAACCTCACATTAATGAGACTAATATACCATTGCATATTAAATTTTTATGTTAAGAGGTAAAGCGTATTCTTCTATTAGCATATGCATTTTGTTTTTAAGCTCTTGAGGACAAGGAGACTTATTTATAAAGTCTCTCCCAGTTCCAATAAATTATGCATGAATTTTAATCAGTTAGCAAATGAACAAGTAATTGTTCTGCAGCATTATTAATATTCTTCATAATACAATATACTATCAGAACCAGAGGTGAGGTGCAACCAGAAATCCCAAAAGTACACTAAGTATCAACTGAAGCATGCAATCCCAATATACCAGGATAAACTTTTCTGATGTTACCCAATTAACTTTCTATTAATTATTCTCATTCATTATTCTATAACCAGATCCATCAAATATGCCCCAATTACAATTTGAAACCACATAATTTCCTTTTATATATACAGCAACCTGAAACTTTTATGGTTTAAAAATTGCCATTGATAACTAAAAGACAGAACAAAGTCATTATTAATGTTTTGGTTGCCATTCCTGCAGCAAATGTCACATATATCAACAATACTCCTCTGTCAGTGGGTTTTTAAACACAATTCACAACCTTCAATGAAGTGATGTTGCTGGTTTTTCACTCGAGCAATCTGGGTCCACCTTGTAGTAAATAATACGGTTTCAGAGTGTCCCAAGAAGGTAGTTTGCCAAAAACGAAAAACCTCTTATATGAGGTATGGAAGAAAAAAAAAAAAAAAAAAAAAAGATGATGCATGAAAGGGAACCCTGAAGAAAATCACCGTCTCAGAAGTTTGGTCTGGTTTATAAACCACATAAAAACTCAGCTTTGGCCAAGGTAGGTGAGAGCTTTCAGAGCCTGGATGACCGGTAGAGCTGCAGGAAGGGGAGGCCCAGCAGCCACCCCCCTGCCCACCCGGGCCCTGCCGAGGCACTCTGCCTCCATCCTCAAATCCATTTGGGGGCTTTCAGTCACCCGCAGCCAGGTGAGCCAGCATGCTGACCTCCCTCCATCTCACCACTGCCCTGGTCGCTGCAACCCAACTGGGGAACTGGACCCTTCGTTTCTGCCAAAAAAACAACCCACCCCCTTCAATTATTATGAGTAGATGTGGCTAAAGCATACAGTATTCCTAGCAAGCAATTTTCATTGAGCACAGTTCCCCTTTTCTCAGCCATGAACCCTCTGTGAATAGCCATAAAGGTTCTAAACAACATTTTATGAAAAAATATTTCAACCCATGGATGGTTTATTAACTCATTGGTAGCATCACAATTTCAATAGCTATTTAAGATGCTCACACTAAACGGTTTGAACGAAGACCCTGCATGGTGAGTTTCATTTCTTCCTTTGCTAAGCACATAATTTAGAGTTCCTTCTCCAGTGTAACTAGCTTCATTACTGACTTATTTTTTGACTGTATTTTTTTAGCCACTGCTTAAAGGTGTTAAATCTGATGAAGTCTCTTCCAGTATGCACGGCCACTAACATCTCTGAAAGACTATATAAAAAAGACCACTTGTACATCTGGAAGACATTAAAGAAAGGAAAGTATTTTCATGCATAGCATTTTGCAGTATTTGGTCAGTCCTGGTTTTGACAGAAAATGCCCACAGCTAAGTTAATCAAAAATTAAGACTGACATTTCATCAGTACAAAGTTCCCATTCTGCTGAGCTACTAGCACTACATTATGCTCACATCAGTATGCATATGACATTATATATTAAATGTACTGTGATATTTAGGCATCAATGACTAGAATAAGCATGCAACATCAACCCCAGCTATAGGTCTTCCTTCAGTTAAGCAGTTGTGTCATATTCTTAATATTAAATATTGTATGCAAATAATTACGTATTCATAGATGGAAAAAACAACCAGAAAAGGTCACTAGTGTTATTACTACAGTAACTAGTATGCATAAAACTTCCTATATTCCCAAGTAACATATGCATACTATGTTACTTAATACTATTTACCCAGCCTGGGTGACAATAGCCCTACTACATTGCCCTCCAAGACTAAATACCTCCCAAATTCAAAATAAAGGAACGGAGTTTCATTAGTATCTTAGTGGTAATTATATACTGTCAATGACCAGTCCAAAGCTGGGAGGGGGAATGACACCAAACCAGAATCTTACAAGTTCTTCCAGTTTGGAGGAAAAGTTGATACTGGATACATGTTTGATAAAATCTTATTTACTTACATGAAGTCATGTTTTTCAACTCTCGCACAGGTGACTGTTGCTTTGCTCACAGCAGAAGGGTTTGAGGAAGGTGGGGAAGAGAGGGCTGGTCACCACACAGCCCAAACATGGAAGATAGGTGCATGCCTTCATTCTTGCCCCTCTCCATCCCACCCCGCCTCGTACGGAGCCTCCACACATGAATACTCTGCATCCAGAGCCTGCAAGTTCCCCTCGCTCACAGGCGCAGCGTGCCTTCCCTCTGGGGACGGCATGTTCAGCCTTCTCCATCAAATACCTTACACAAATCTCTACAGTTGGTACGGTGATGAGTATCAACAGTTTAATCCAATACATACAACAGAGGTAATAATAAAAAGCTTGATTTTTACAAGTAAAACCAAACATTCATTTATTAAAAGAAGCCAAACATCAGCCTCACCCCTCCAGAAATTAAAATCAGTATGTCTTAACTTCCATAAACTGCCAAGAAAGCAAGTAAATCTAAAGAATACAAATTTCCTTTAAAATTTTTTATAATTCAGAGAAACAAACAAATAAATCCATATAAATACAGCTAATACTGGATGTTCTGGGGACTACAGCAGAGACGCCTCCACAAATGACTCAACACCGACTCAGCTCCCACCTAGATCAACTCATTTCCCCTACTGGGGAAATTTCTTGCAAAGCTGTCTAAGTACGTCTGCACATTTCTTGCAAGTACTCTGGGTTTCTAGCTGAGGTTCAGTGCCTGACCCATGCTGGCTATGTGTAGTTAGAGCCTGATCTTTGCCATACGAAGCCCCTGTTGGACCAGGGGCCCTAGGGAGTGCAGCCTGAGACACCCAAGGCATACAGACCAAGGAGAAAATCCCTGTTTGCCCAGAGCTGAACCAGTGCAGAAGCGTGC